TATAGGAAATGATGAACTGTCAATATTTATCTTAGTTTTAAATAGAGTTCAATTGTAAGTTAATGCCATTTAATTTTTTAATAATAGTTGTGTTTAACAGTTCACAAAATTCTTGAACATCGGATAATCTGCTCTTGTGAGCCACACATACTGGTTCCTCCAAGCCACCCTGCTTATCCAGTATACCCGGCAATGGGTGTTCCTGCCATCACACTTCCCCATGCACATTTTCCTTTGGGGGAACAACCTCTTCCATTCCATGTTGTTCTGGAGAAGCTGACAATCACACGATCCCCATCCTACTGGATGCTGATAACAGGAGTTATGACCAAAACTGGGTAAGCTGTGGGGCGAGTGGTAGATGCCAGGACTGGGTCCATGCATTCCTAGGAACTCACCCCACTCACCCACCCTTACTTGGTAAGTTGTGGGCAGCAACCCAGCCAGTCCCAAACACATGCCTGCTAGTATTCATGCTTATTAAAATATCCTGGACCTACTCTCCTCACCCTGATCTCTTGCAGGTTGTGCTCCTTCCCGGCAGGGTCACTGGGACTGATTGTGGCTTTATGCAAGGGCCACACCTCCTGTTCTGCAGGGTCTCTTACCACAGGCTCTCTGTTCCTCCCTCCCCTTACTCTTGCTGGTGGTTTCCCGCCCTGCCTTTCATAGTCAAGAGCCTGTCTTTGTCGGTAATGGGGAATTATGTTGGATAGCTTCTAAACAACAGAAGCTTATTTCTTATAATTCTGGAGGCTAAGTTCAAGATCAAGGTGCTGCCAGATTCTGTCTGATGAGGGTCAGGTTCCTAGATAGTGCCTTTTAGCTGTGACCTCACATGGTGGAAGGAGGGAAGGAAAGGCCTTTTGGCTGAGATTAATACCCTTATAAAAGAGTCCCCAGAGAGTCCCCAGAGAGGGGACTCTTTTATAAGGGCATTTATCTCATCCATAAGTGTCTTACCTCGAGATCTAATCAACCTTCTAAGTCCCTACCTCTTAACACCATCACGTCAGGCATAGGTCTCAACATGTAAGAGGCACAATCAGTCAGTCTGTAGTACAGTTCCCTTTATTTATTTGAGGGCTGGGGGTGAGGGAGTACTGGGAATTGAACCCAAGAGTGTTTTACCTCTAAGCTATATCCCCAGTGCTACCACCCTCCTTTGAGACAAGGTTTTGCTAAATTGGTAAGGCAGGCCTTAAACTTCATTTCAATCCTCCTGCTTCAGCCTTCTGATTTTAGCTGAGATTACAGGCGTGCGTCACTGCCCCTGGCCTAGCACCATTGCTTTATTAAACTCTTTTGAATTATCCAATTTTTGTGTGTCACTGTTTCCTGCCAGAACCCAATTTACCGTCACCCACACTTCCCACTCTGCTCTGTTCAGGGTGTTCACATGGGGGCTTTGTGGCCCAGCAAGTAAGAATGCAGGCTCTGGAACTGGCCCCTGTCTGAATTGTATTTACTAGCTGTAATATTGTGGCCACATTACTTTATTTCTTGGTGCCTCAATTTTGGCCACCTATAAAATGAGGATAGCGGTCTCTACCCTATAGGATCATTACGGGTATTAAGTGAAATGGTCCATGTAAAAAGCTTAATGTTATGTGTGATGCCTAGAAATTGCCATTAAGTAGAGATTATATTGTTTTAACATAATATATGATTATTAACTATAGTCACACGCTGTACAACAGATCTCCAGAACCTGTACATCCTTTCTGAAATTTTGTATTGATTATATGCTCCTACTGTGAACTCCTCTTTGGCCTTTTCCAGATTCTTTTTTCCCCTGAAACTGGAAACCCAGAATTTAAATCTGGGTTGAAAAGACATATGCCACATGGATGGCACTTAGGCCACCCCTGCCCCACCCATACCCCTGGCTCCCACTGAGCCCATTCAAGGCCTCCACAAGAACTCCCAAGTGCTAATGAGAGCTGGGACTTTAAGACTAAGCTGTGAACCTGTTTGCTTCTCCAGCTCTGGTCTGCAGGAAATGGGCCAGTGGGAGTTGGTGGGAATGAGGTCTAATGGCAGCTGCCTGGCTCACCTGTACTGTAGCAGGGGGTCCTGAGTGGGGGACCCTGCTGCAAGTTCACTTACAGCTGTGTGTGTGTGGGGGGGGGAAACTGAGGCATCAGGGCTGAGAAGATACCGGGATCACTGTCCTTGATGGCTTGCCCTGTCACCTGTTATTCCCAAGGCATCAAGAGATGCAAAGGGATCTGAACTTCTTGGAAGAAATGCCAGATACTTCTGTTTTAGGAGCTTCTGCATCTGCACCTCACAGAGGATCATTTGAGCAGTCTTACAGACCTGAGTTCCACCCTGGCTCTGCCATGTCCTGGCTCTGTGCCTGAGGGTAAGTCACTTAACCTCTCAGAGACCCTACTTCCTCACTTTTAAAACATGCCAAGAATAGGACCCATCTGTCACAAGGTGGTGGGGAGCAGCAGATGAGATCATTCCCATCAACTGCCTTCCTAGCACACATGGGAACTTACTAAATGGCCACTTTATGAGTATGTTCTGGGTGGGGCTGTCTGGACTCTGGAGAGAGAGTGGAAAAACAAGGCCCCCTGGACATATCTGTCTACATATGATCTCTGTACTGGGTTTTCTCCATGCTTGGTTTATTCTTATTTGTTCTCGTTAAAATTCTTCAGCCCCTTCCCATTACTGGTCTGGTGAGCCTGAAATTTTCTGGGAAAGCAAGAGAGCTTCTCTAGCAGCAATCAGCCTGGGCTCGAATCTGGCATCTTCCAGGAAGGAGAGATAGGGCTCCAAATCCCCACGCAGGATGGGAGGGCTCCTGTAGGCAGAGCTGAGTCTGCCAACTCTAGGGAGAATTTATATAGTCTTTATTTGGTCTACGTACCTGCATAGTGTTTTGTAAACATCTGAATTCACTGCTGAGATTGAGAAACAAGGAGCCCTTATTTACCCTGTGCCCACATTCCTATCTTGGCAATACTGACTGGAGCTAGGTGTCTGTTCCCCATAGTCTCCCTTGGCTTCCTGTCTTCAGTTGCAGGGTTTCCAGACTTGCAGGCATGCGCATTTGCATCCTTAAGCTGGAGGTTGCTGCACATGCTTGTGTGTGTGAATATACAACTCCCAGGGTTCCCACCACCTGACTTACTCACTGGCATCTACACCCCTATACCATAGATGTAGCTTCCTATCGCTGCAGATGGATCATCCGTACTCTCCTCTAAAGCCAATCTCTCTGCTAGGAGCTAAATCCCCCCACCACCACTCCCACTATGGTCTGTTCCTGTTCCCTCCAAAATTCACACTGGAAAATGAATCCTCAATGCAACAGTGTTGGAAAGGGGGCCAACACATAACCTGAAGGAAGTCTTATACCATATCTTAAGTAATTTTGTCCATAAAATACTTTCATGATGTAAATTTTCCACTATGGTGTCACATATGCTCAAAAAGTTTTTGGTTTTGGAGCATCTTGGATTTGGGATTAGAGATACTCTATAATTGGCTCTCTTTCTTCCTACTCACTCCCTTGCTGGTCTCACTTGATCTCACCCTTCAAATACACCTACACGCCCGGCAACTCCGCAACTTATAGCCCCAGTCCAAGCCTTCCTCTGAACTCCAGGCTTAAATAGCCTCCAGCTACATAGCATCTCCATTACCAAGTCTAGATGTCTAGACAGACGAGCCTCACTTATCTCAGACTAAATAGCTGATCTTCTCCCCCAAACCTGTGGTCTCCTGTCTCAGACCTTAGTAACCCTGTATTCCAACCCCCTCATTGCAGCATCATTTTTTTAGGGCCACTAATCACTACAACCTCTTAAATGCTCTTCCCATTTGCCAGCTGAAAGCCCTATGGTCTATTCACAGGCATAGGAAGAATCTTTAACCTACAAGTCAGATCATGTCACACCTTGGCTGAAAGCCATCTAACCACTGCCACTTGGAGTAAAGGTTGATGTCCTCATCAGGGCTGTAAGATCCTACACACATGAGCCCCCTCTGGACTCACCCCCACCACTCTCTCTTCTCACCTCCTGCTCCAGTCATCTGGGCTGTTGGCTGCCTTTCAACAATGCTGGCATGCTCCCCCTTAGGCCCATCTGCCTGGAACATTCCTCCAGGTTTCTACATGGCTATGACCCTCAATCTCTTCCAAACCTTGTTGAAAAGTACCTCTCAAGAAACCCTATTTGAGCTGGATACTGTAGCACACCCTGTAATCCCAGCAGCTGGGGAAGCTGAGGCAGGAGGATCTAGAGTTCAAAGCCAGCCTCAGCAACAGCGAAATGCTAAGCAACTCAGTGAGATCCTGACTCTAAATAATATAAAATAGGGCTGAGGATGTGGCTCAGTGGTTGAGTGCTGCGGAGTTCAATCCCCAATACCCCTCCCCTCCAAAAAGAAACCCTATTTGAAATTCTGCTTTGCCTTCCTCTGATCTTCTTCTTACCCTACTACTTTGTTTTATCCTCCTAAGCATGTTATCTTCTTGATACCATATTGTGGTTTGCTTATTTAAAATACTACCTGTCAGTCTGTCTCCTGACCCCATTCTAAGGAAGGGGCATGGACATACAACAGCACTTGACAAGTATTTCTTGAATACTACACATGAATTTCTAGGAAGGATCATGGCTTTGATAAGACTAGTAGAGAGTTTTGTGTTCCAAAAAAAAATATTTTTTAAAACAAAAAATAAAACACTAAACACTCGCATGGACTAAAAGATGTTTTTAGGGGAAAAACATCTGGTTTTAGTTCTGGTCCTCAAAGAACCTTTCTGAGCCTCTAGAGATACAGCAGCAGAACCGAATATCTATTGCCCTTGGTTTCTTCTAATTCCCTCCTACACATCCATCCTTCTGGTTTGTGTGAATGTGGTGATATTGGGGGGCCCTTCCTCTCATGTCAGGAAACTCTGAATGCTGGCTTAGCAGCAGCTTCAATACCCTATAAGGGACTTCCCCCAGCAGCGGCACAGAGGAGAGAGACCATGAGATTTATCACACAAGTGGGTATTGTATGTGAAGTATGTGCTGGGAGCAACAAGAACAGCAGTAAATACAGAACAGAAAATAACCATCTTTGAAATGACAACAAATGGGAGACATTATCTAAGCACTAACACCTATGGAGGCGGCTTCCCAGCTCTGGAGGGCAGCAGCTCAGGACAGAGAGGTCGACTTCTTTCCAGGTTGCCTGGTCTTCAGTCCTTGTAACTTCTCATCTTTTAGCGCCTTCAGGAATTTATCTGCAGGAGAGCAAAACAAACAGCTGTAGTAGAAAGGAGGACTTTGCCTAACTCTTCCTAAGCAAGCTTCTAGGAAGCAACTGTGCTCCCTATGTGAGCCCCAAACCATCTGTGATCCAAGGCAGGGGTGAGGAGTGGGTGGGAAAAACCTAATAGCCAAAACACATCTAATGGGGAAATACAGTGTCAAGAAATCCAGGAGTTTGGGCTGGAGTTGTAGCTCAGTGGTAGTATGTGCCTAGGACGTGAGGCACTGAGTTTGAACCTCAGCACCACATAGATTTTAAATTTTTTTAAAATAAAGAAATCCAGGAGTTAGACAAACCCAAGTTTTCTAGGGATTGTTTTCCTTCCATGGCTATAAGAAAAGGTATGTTACAGGGTGTCTGATGAATCAGAACTATTCTCATGGCCCCGTGGACCTAAGCACTTAGGTTATTTCATACTTCCCTTCCTTGTGTGGCAAGGGCAACCAGTTTGGTTTGTGTGAATGTGGTGATATTGGGGGGCAGTTGGAGTGGTCTTTAGCCAGAACAGGGATGGGAAAGGGCAGTTTATGGCTACTGAACACTCTACTGTGCAATAGGCCCCAAACCATCTTACCCTTCGACATGGAGAAATTGGCTCCCACACCAGAGGATACCTGCCCACATGAGCACACCTGGTCTGGCCTGGTCTATATCCCTAAGACTTTGAATCTAAAACCAGATGGCAAAGTCCAGGACCTTGGTGAGGGACTAAAGGGACACAGGGAGGCAGCCCTCCAGAACTGAAAAGTGAATGTCTCTGGGGTTCCCTTACAGACACTACAACTGATCCTCACCTACTTCCCCCACCTCCCTCCAGAAGACTCCAGTTTAAGAGTGAACATTAAAGGTTAACTTCTCTAGAGATAAGAGCTGTCTTGTGGTAGGTGAAGCTCCATACTCAGGGATGGGGTATTATTGTGCAGGATTAAAGTTCAGAATGCGGGTAGTGGCTGGTGATGTTTCAGGTGTGGGGTTTAGAATCCAGATTAACAGAATAGTTCAGGATGTAGTTTGAGACTAAAGGGTCCAAAAATTTCAGAAGTGTGGTTGCAGGGAGGAGTCGGTTGAAATCCAGGATGGGGGCGCGGGTCTGGGTTCTGGGGGACAGATTTTGGATCAGAGACTCCTGGGGACTGGAGTCTGAGCCTAAAGCCACATTGTGGGGCTCAGCATGGAGCCAACGAGGGAGCCAGGGCAAAAAAGGATGGGCTCAGGTGGCCCCTGAGGGGGTCACGCACAGCGCTGGGAGTCGAAGCCATCCCCAGTGATGGTGAGCAGTTCCAGCTCCTTAATTCGGATCTCCAGCTCGCACAACTCCTCCGGGTGGGAGGCGGAGGCAAGCCGTGGGGTGGCGGGGCCGGGGGCCAGGGGTGAAGCAGCCCCCTCGGGGCCCGGCGGCGGCGAGTAGAAGAAGCGCAGTGGCTCGTAGGGGATGGAGGCCAGGCCGGAGGGCCACGGCGGAGGGCAGGGGCGCTCGCTGGGGGGACCGAGGCCAGGCGGCGGCGGAGGGGCCGGGGCCGGAGGTCCCTGAGGCAGGGGTCGGCCCCCAGCCACCCCACCGGCCGGCGCCCCGCCCGCCTTCAGCGGCACGAAGAGCTTCTTCCAGATGTTAAAGTCGCTGAGCGGGGACGAGGAGATGCCGCGGTCGTAGAGGGAAGGGAAATAGAGGGGCGGAGCCGGCCGCTGGCTCATCGTGGGGCTCTGACTGCCGCGCCGCCCCTTCGGCATCTTTTGAATGAGAGGCTGCGTGGGAGAAACCCGCGCCCGGACTCGCGCCGGGGCCCCGTGTCGCCGGGGTTCTCGGGTTCCACAGGCCACGCCCCGACGGAGCGCGGCCCCACCCTTTCTCTCCAGCCCCGCCCTAGACAGGCGGTGCTCTGAAGCCCGGAGGCCACGCCCCAGAACGTGGCCCGCCCATTGACGTCAGGGCTCGCCTCTATGGTGGGAAAGCCACGCCCCAAGGCCGAACCCGCAGTTTAACGCAGCGCGCTCCTTCCAGCCCTGCCCCTCGGCTGCTCCCGCTGCTCTTCGGTTCCTCCACCCTGTACGTGTCCATCTTACCCAGAAACAGAAAGCAAGGAGTTGGCCCAGGCTGCGAGAGAAAACCTTTTTCAGCCTTTCTCTCCTTTTATCAGGGAGAGAAAATGTTTCCCAACAGTCTCCCCCTGCGCCAGCACACTTCCCTCATTGCCTTAGTAACCACTCCTCGCTGCAGAGCCCGGGAGAAAAAAAGTGTCTGACTACTCATTCTCCACAGTGGCGAAGCAAAGGAGAAGAGGATTGGTTGGGAATGGCTGTTAGAACCAATCCATGTTTCTCCGGCACACTTAGCAGTGTCGTAGAAGATTTTGGAAAACAGAATTCTGGTCTGGATTTGTAATGGCCCTGAAGGAAATGATGAAGTTTTGTTCTCTACCAAATGTACAATATCAGGGGCTGATAGGTAACACGATAACCACCAAAGAAAATCCTGCTGGACCCACCTCAATCAGTTCACTTGTTCTTCATGAGAGACCTGGACATTCTGTCCAAGGGCCGTGCTTATGTATGCATGTGAATAGCCTGTGAGTATTAGTCATAGACTGGGGGGAAATAAATTTTCCTTGAGAGCCTCAGCCTAATGTTCGTTGGTGTAAATGCATAAGGAGTCAAAGAGTAGCAGCTCCACAAGTGAATGCTATATATACACATGGTGTGTGTGTGTGTGTGTGTGTGTGTGTGCATGTAGCTACAAAGCAGACAGATGTCCAAGCTGGATAACTTTTGGCAAGTTGTTTGACTTCTAAGTAAGTTTTCTATCAAATAGAAATAAGAGAACCAGACTGCCTCCTTGAGTTATTTGATTATCAAGCAGAAGAACAATGCTTCAATGTGTGAAGCACTTGAAACTTAGAAACTATGTCCAAATGCAAGGGGAAACTCTCCCCACAGAGAGGCTTATCTGCAACTAGGGAGCCCCCCCCACACACACACACACTTAGCTGTGAGCTCCTTGAGAGCAAAAATCCAGCCCAAGGATCCTCTAATATTGAGCATATAATATGGCCTGATAGCTGGGCATGTTGACTCAGGCCTGTAATCCCAGCAACTCTAGAGGCTGAGGCAGGACATCCACCTCAAAACTTAGTGAGACCCTATCTAAAAATAAAAAATAAGAAGGGGTGGGGATGTAGCTCAGTGGTACAGCACCCTGGTTTAACCCCCAGTACTGTAAAAACAAACAACCAAAATCCTCATAGGGAACTGATAAATATTTGAAACTTTTAAAATAGTGTTATATGTAATGGGAACTAAAGGAGATACCACCCCAAAATATGCAACTTACGGTGTAAGAATTATTTTGAGGCAAAAGCAATTGAGAAACAGCAGTCATAAAAGAAACCCTGTCTGCCCCTTCCTGCCTAAAATCAGAGTATAAATTTCCCATTGTGAAGATGTCCTTCCTCCTGTCCCATGCCAAGAAAAGGAGAACTCATTACTGAGAAGGTACTAACTTCAGTCTGCCTAACAAATCTTGCCTTCCTGCAGTTTCTCCTATTTATTTACCTTCCCATAATTGATTGTCCCTAGAAACCCAAACATTTTCCCCCTTTCTCTGGTCACTTTTCCACAATTTATAACCCTTTGGTAAGTGGCATATATAAGTTCTCAAGCCTAACCACTTCTTTGGGCTACCCCTTCCTTTCTACCCTATGTACATGTGGGTAATAATTCTTTTCTTCTGTTACTCTTTTGTCAGTTTAATTCACAGGCTCCAGGTATAGATACAGGAACCAAGAGGGTAGAGGAAAAATATTTTTCCATCCTGTAGAGAACCATCATAGTGGTAAGAGCCAGGTATTTGGACTTACACCTGGGACTGAGTCCTGGATTGACATGTACTTGTTTGTGTGAATGAAACTTTTCTGGACCTCAATTTTGCTTTTCAATGTATTTTTTTAGTTGTTGGTAGACACAATACCTTTATTTTACTTTTATGTGGTACTGAAGATTGAACCCAGCACCTCATGCATGCCAGGCAAGCGCTCTACCACTGAGCCACAGCCCCAGCCCCTCAGTCTTTTAATCTATATAATGGGAATAGTAATGGCACCTACTCACTTGGATTGGCAAGATTACATAAGATATTCTAAATGCCTAATCATGATAATTTGCTCTGTAAAAGTTAGCTTTTGTTATTATGTATTGAAGGTCCTTAGAAGGGAAAGAGATTTTGTCATTATGTTTTGTAAATTATGGAATATAATCACATTTTTACATGTATGTATCCTTTTGAAGAGGAAAAGCTTAACAGATTTCCCACCCTTAACTCCAAGATAATCTGAATAGATTTTATACTGGATAGCTTAATTATATCCATGTGGTTATTGCTGGTAGTTATTTAAATAAGAAACTGATGACAAAAAATGTTTTCTCTAACAACTACACAATAAAACTCAAGTGCCTCAATCAACAAACATTGAGATAACCCCAAATCTGAAGATAAAGTCCATAGGGGGTAATAAGAAATCACAGTAGATAAGGCAAAATTCTATAGGTTGTTTTGTTATGGCGAGATTGCAATAAATCACCAAGTTGATTTTAAAGCAGGAGACCAAACCATCTTTATGCACCAGCCAGCAGTCCAGATTCATGAGCTGGTGGGCCAAGGGGCAAGCTGCAAGTCTACACCCTTTGACACCCTCCAAGAATTAGAGTACACCTTTATATAGAGTATACCTTTATGCTATGCTAAGCAACTGTTGATGGGACAGAGGCAGGGTGTTCCCATCGGAGAAGCATTTCCTACATGACATGGAGTCTCAGGAAAAAAATAGAGTCTATTTAGTCATTTCCCATATAGCCTGGCACATAACAGTTTGTGCAAATAAGTCTTCTGAAAACTCAGGTTGGTGATGCAGAGATACAGCAGGCTTCAATACAACTTAAATAAACCCTTCCCTTCCTGGGTTTCAAAGCTCTGTGTCACCTGCCTCTTACTCACATTCTCCATTAAGCACCAGCTGTTGGAGCTGGATCCAATTCCAAACACTCTTGAGTCCCACCTTCCTGTGGAACCAATGGAAAGGCCTTTGCAATAAAGGTCAGCTGCAGGAAGTGGCTCTAGATCTGGAAGGCCGTGGGCTTGCTAATAGCACACCTCAGGACAGAGCCCTCTCACCCAGTGCAGGGCCTGGTTAGGAAAGCCACAGGCTGGGCTGTAGCCTTTCCTGTTAGAGCAGAGAACAGGCCACGGTCAGGCAGGTGGGTTCTTTCTTCACCAAACTCACCAGTTGGTTGGGGCCTAGAAGTTCCTCTCCAACACTCTGACTTCCACTCTCTGTTTAACTCAGGCTGAATCACTGCCGCTGCAGTTGGCATTTGGAATTTTCGTTTGCAGAGCCCTCTCCAGCCAGGAGGGAATGGAGCAGCTGAGTCATTCGCCTGCTTCCCTCAATCATCCCATTGCTTCCTTTGGAGATAATATAGAACGCCCCCTCTGGCTTGTTCCCCTAGGTTCCCTCCATTGCTTTAGCTCTGCGTCTGGACACACTGCCAGCCATGGGTGCTTGGCAGTTTTTTGGGGGGTCCTGTAGTGTTTGTGGCTTGGAATGCAGGTTGAATAACTCTTATCCAAACTGTTGGAACAGCCAGGTGTGGCGGCACATGGCTATAATCCCAGGGACTCAAAGAGGTTGAGGCAGGAGAATTGGAAGTTCAAGGCCTGTTCAAGGCCTCACCAGCTTGGTGAAACCCTGTCTCAAAATTTTAAATAAATACATACATACATACATACATACATAAATACATAAATAAATAAATAATAAAAATGCTGGAGCTATAACTCAGTGGTAGAGTACCCCTGGATCCAATCGCCAGTACTGGAAAAAAAAAAAAAAGATCCCAAATCGCTTCAGACCAGAAGTGTTACAGATTCTGGAGGTGGTTTTTTGTTTTTGTTTTGTTTTGTTTTTGTGTGTGTTTATTTTTGTGAGGTTTTTTAATTTTATTATTATTATTATTATTTTAGTATTTGCATAGACTACAGATTGAACTCCCCCTAATCTAAAAATTTGTAATCCATGCTCCAAAAGCTGAAACTTTTGGAATGCAGATCTGGCTCTCAGGAAGTTTTGGATTTTGGAGAATTTTGGATTTCTGGATTAGGGATATTCATCAACCTATACAACAGAGTTGTGTTTGAATCTAGGATTCTGTGAACGTGGGATTGTCAGATCAGTTCTCTGAACTTCAACTTTCTTTTTTCCTTTTTTGGTACTGGGCATTGAACCCAGAAAGCACTTAATCACTGAGCCACATCCCCAGCCTTTTTGTGTATTTTATTTAGAGACAGGGTCTCACTGAGTTTCTTAGGACCTACCTAAATCACTGAGGCTGGCTTCAAACTCATGATCCTCCTGCCTCAGCCTCCTGAGCACCCAGCTCAACCTCAACTTTCTGATCTATAAACTAAATAACTGCTTCATGGGGGTTGATGTACTTGATGAAAATATGCATAAGCAGTCCTGGAGACACATAGTAGGTGCTTCCTACAGTTTTTATACAGTTATATATAACCCATTGCAGGGCCTGGTTAGAAAGCTACAGGCTGGGCTGAAGCCTTGAGCACTGGTGAATTGATGAGGTCAGTGGAGCAGAGGGGGTATACCACCCCTAGAAAACCAAACCCACTCCAGATAATTTGGCAAGGCCCTCCCTGAGAAGCTGCGTATCTCTGACAATGATAATAGGCATATAGAGAAAGGCCACAATGTCTCAGGCGCTTGTCTTAAATCATATT